TTCGCAGTCACGGTCATGCTGAGAGGTTCGTAGATCCCTTTAAATAAGCGTTGACAGGAGCAAAAAGGGGATGTCATAGAAGTAACGCCTACCAATCGCCGAATGCCGATCGGACAGCCTGGATTCAAGGCCAGAGGTGCTGGTACTGGCCAGGTACTGCTATGCCCCTTGTAATTTTTGTACCCGCTTGTTCGTAATGAGGCTATTGTGTTCCATGTTGATGAGTCTTTTTCCGACACTAAGGTACTGGAGTGAGGACTGCAGAGAAGGACGGCTATTGTTGTTGGTTAGAAGGAGAGGCTCATATCCAGCACTCGTAAATATGTCATAGATGGAATACTGACGAGAGTGAAACCCAGCTTGATTCTTACGAATCTAACTCTCTCGGGACGCATAAACACTAAGGTACTGGAGTGAGGACTGCAGAGAAGGACGGCTATTGTTGTTGGTTAGAAGGAGAGGCTCATATCCAGCACTCGTAAATATGTCATAGATGGAATACTGACGAGAGTGAAACCCAGCTTGATTCTTACGAATCTAACTCTCTCGGTGACGAATAAACCTGCGTAGAATAATACTTGTGGACACCTTCGAAGATATGACCACTAGACTAATGCCACGGTGGTTTTCGCACGGTGTTCCCGCATTCCTTTTGAATATGAGAATCACCGTAGAAGGAATCCACTTTGTTGGAATTTTTTCCTCATTCCATATATTTTGGAGTAACGTCAGGTTATCCACGATGAACTTCCCATCTTTAAAGTATGCGGGATGCAAACTGTGTGATCCAGGTGCTTTGTTTCGCGGAAGATTTTGTTTTTGTTACCGTGGTGTGACGGTTCGCTCACCTCAGCGACCCATTGAGCAGAAGACTAGCAGATCCGGATGTTAAACGAATTTACCAGAAGCGTCTTCTGGAGTCTCTTCCACCATCAGATGTGAACTCATACTGTGACGAGATTGCCACCTCTTTGCATAGTGCTGGGAATTTTGCCTATGGCACGGCACCACCAGGCGCACTCAAGCACTGGATATCAGACCGAACGGGGCACTGCTTAGGTATCGGATAAATATCCCAACCGGCCCGGAACAAACTCGATGTGATGAATTAGCGGACGTCAAGTGAAGGTGAGCGTGCAAGCCGATCGTGAAGTGTGGTGGACACAGGAAGCCAAGGAAATGGAAAAGGATCAGAAAGCGGGTAATGCCCGAAGATTATTCAAGTTGGTCCGTGCGAGCGGTCCCCGAAAACCATCTGTGAGCAAAACCATCAAGGATCGGAATGGAGAGAACATCTCAAATAAAGAAGAACGCCTCGACCGATGGGCCGAGCACTTCGAACAACAATTGTCATGGCCACCAACTGGCACCCATTGGAGCCCACAGGTAAAGTAGAACCCTGGACGGTGAACGCAGAACCGCCTACGGCCTCAGAGGTTTATGACTGCATATGTTCTCTTAAGCGCCACCGAGCCTTTGGTCCGGATGGCCTCTCACCCGCATTGTTCAAAGGTGAGGTTGTAATCCTCAGTCAGCGCTTGTCTGATATGTTTGCTTGCATTTGGGAAAAAGTCTGTCTCAGACAATTGGGGAGAGTCAATGATAGTGCCCATTTTCAAAAAAGGAGCTCATAATGTGTATGGCAACCACAGCCCGGTTGTAACGAGACTGCTGGCATCACTGGTGCTTCGTCGCCTTGTGGTGGCTCGTGAAACACTGACTCGAGAGCAGCAAGCGAGATTCCGACCCGGTAGGGATTGCGTTGACCAAATCTTCACACTCTGTCGTGCTAGAACAACGCCATACGTATAAGCGACCCACAATTCTACTGTTCCTGGATTTCCAAGGCGCATTTGACTCGGTTGACCGGTCTGTTCTGCTTGACACGCTTGCCCACCAAGGAATGCCCCCGAAAGTTCGTGAACATTATAAGCCCTTTGTATTCCCAGACTTCCGGACGTGTGAGAATATACGGCAAGCTCTCCAAAAGCTTCCGTGCACAAAGTGGTGTTTGTCAGGGATGCCCACCTTCCTCTCACTCACCTCGCACCAAGTCCCTTCTCCGTCCATCCTTATCCTTTTAAGACTTTCTAATGAATCATGGTTGTACGGCAACGAGGCATCGATTTTGAACACTGGTGTAATGCTGTCGATGGTGATGGTGATCTTCGTCGGTGGCGGACTGATCTCGATGTCACACTTTGGCTCAATTAGTTTGAAGTTGGCCCTGACCACCGGTGCATTATTCAATCCGGTCGAAATATTTTTAAAATCAGCTTCTGGTGTTGTTCAAAAGGCACCTTCTGTGCGCAGCCGCATCAGAAGTCAGGCAGTAGTATCCTATTCCTAGCGCCCTCGGGTTAGTCCAGCTCCCTGCATTCAGGCACGTCAGACTGTTGAGTCATCAGCACCGAGCAGGGTTCCCCAAAAGGCCCTATTCCTCCGCCATTACCTTGTGAGTCAGAGGTTTGCGCTAAACGCTCAAGGTGGGACGCATCAATTACACCCTACTTCTCGGCCTATGCAACCCTCATAGTTCCCTGTCAACCGATGTCCCACCCCAATCCCTTCCTATCATGCAAGCTAGCACTGCTGATTCATTTGACTGTCAGTAATCTAACTTTATACGTTCGGCTGCCAATTAACAATAAACAAAATATCACTGCTAAATCCATGAGATCATTCTACATAGGGCTTCCTCTTCATAGTCGCTCGGCCCTTGTTGGCCAGTTTGTTGAGTGAATTTTATAGATAGGTTGAGCTGATCCAGCTCCTTCGTATTTGCGATATTCTTTTAGTGATGTTGTGATGAGACTGATTGGAACCAGTTTGCGCAGCACTTCGACAGCATATAACGACATGCGAGGTAACCAAGCCATCTTCAGCTCTCCGACAACCGTTGTGTCAGGACCATATTCCATGTAGGCTGGTGCCGATGAATCCGCAACGAGGCAATTAGACAAAGTGTGTTCGATCATTCAACAAGGACTTCAATCGAAGAATATGCTCAGCATCAATATTCGCGGTGGCTAGGTCATGTATTGTTCATGCTAATTCATCGTTTGCCGAAGAGAGCGCTGTTTTTCGTACCCGATTTAGAGAGGCGCGAGCAGAGAGGTGACAAACATTTAACCTGTTGGAGGTGCATGAAACGGATTACAAAAAGTTTGGTCACCTTCGATACAACTCGCCTTCTAGGATGGGGTTCGCGTTGAAGACGGCGCAATATTTGGCTGCTAACCGAGGTGTGTGGTGGTCTTGTTGCCAGTTTCTGTCCGTAAGGTCTCAGTGAGTGTCTGAAAGTGCAGGCATCTCGGAGCAACTGTTGTAGACTAGCACTAAGGCCCTTCCTAACCCACGCTTCTCCACAATAAGGTTTTCAAATAAATTATGGATGTCTGGCAGCGAAGTCTCGGTGTAAAACAGTGGCGTGGTGCTCTCTGTGGTGATAGTGTTGACTGAATTTAGCGAACTTTACTCGTTCATTCCCTGGGTGTAACAGTATCCAACACAAGCTCCGTCTAGTGTTGGTATCTTGACTTCTAATTTAGAAACAATTATGGTTTCTGGCGCATTAGAAATAAGTCAATAAAACCGTATTCATTCGTCTCTCCCCTTTATATAAATGAGAACCAGGCACTATGTCTACCGATTGTCTTGATTTCCTGGGCGGTTTATTCCGTTTTCCAAATGACTGGATAGCCGTGTGAAGTTTAGTAACCGCGAGTCTGAAAATCGTACCTCCAGAGAGTACGCCTTTAACATTAGCACCGTTTTGGTTCCCCGAGGGGACAGGCTCTTCAAGTGGACCTTTGGTATGAAATCTGAATTCTTCCATGAAGCCTTGAGAAAGTTCGGAAAATTCTAGTTAGGCTTCTGATATCCCGTTTCTTACAGGTAATGATGTCCTCACTAACTTTCTGTAGAATGGACGTCGGACAGAATAATTTTCATTCCGTACAAAACTTTTTTGATTACACGGCTTTTCCTCACGACAGTTTCTGTGCTTTCCGGTGTGAGAGTTTTTCAGTCTCCGGCGCAGCCACATTCCTTCAGTTTTCCCCGTACTTTGCCCCCAGTGGCAGTTTGTCTTCATGATGTGTGTAAGCACCGAATTCACGTAAAAATGTTGATTTCAGTTTACTGCATCAAAAGGTGAATATTTGAATATTCAGCATTTCTGATTTTTCAGTCGGCATCTAAGCTCTCACATATGCCGTCCGTCTTATATCTATTTCTTGTGCATACTTGGATGATGAATCAGGCCGTTCATTGGAATTTTATTCTGCTTTTGTAGTGTTTATCGCAGTGCGCCGCATTTGCGCTCTAGTCTTATTCTTCTGCTCACGATTTCCCCTACTACTTTGGAGATTCAACTCTTCCAAAAAATTCACATTCGGGAACGTCCTGAAGCATGCGGAGTGAAAAAGTATGTGGAATTTAGTTTTTTTGACTGATTAATTTACCCAATAGACCTCGCATCCAAAAGGCATCTTGTCGAACCAATATCTGGTTACCTTCTTCAAGACCTTCAGGCCGGAGTGTACTTTTGAAGACAAAAATGAATTTTTGGATATCGTATATTGGCTTCGACAAGTGTTTGCTGTAATCATTGGGATAGTTTGGGGCTTGATCCCTCTGAAGGGGGTTTTCGCTATTATACTTTTCTTTTTTGTCAACATTTTAGCTGTTTATTTGTATGCTGCCTTATTTCAACGGGTCGATGAAGACGAATATGGTGGATTCGTTGAAATAGTGAAGGAAGGCTTAATGACTGCTTTTTCTTGTTTTATGGTCTCTTGGATTGTTGTTTACGATTACGGCCTTAGTACTGTACCATTATCCTAGGATGGTGTTTTGTCTACCAATTTCCCTTCAGGATCACCAGCGTACTTTCACCAGTTATTTGTATGGTTTTGTAAATATAGATACAATCCGGTATTCTGTCTTCTGCGTCTTCTTCCAATGAAACAGATCTCACAGTTATCTTCTTTTTTTAGTGTGGGTTGCCGTCGCATCCCGTTTTGCTCACATCTGCCACTCGGATCCGAGCCGGTTTCACGGGTAATTCGAAGGCCGTTGACGGTTCTACATGTACAGCCGTAGTCGATGAACTAGACCGGAACGGATTATTTTTTGAGTTATGTTCCGTCTGTGGCCGTCACCCTGGGACGCTCCACCAGCCAGAGCCTCTTCGTCAAGGGTGTATTTTTAGATTCATCATAGGACACTCTCCGGATATGCTTGATCAGCAGGCGTGTTCGGCCTTTCCAAACACTCGGAGTATGTTGGAAAGCGTTCTTATTGGGTCTGTGGAGGGTGATACCTTTCGCTTGAAAGTGACACTTCTCGAACATTCAAGGCCCTCAGAGGACAGTTCATCATCCGGGGCTTGTGCGGTAATTAATTCCCATACCTTTCATCTGAACTACCATAAGATCTTTGTTATTTTTAGTGACCGTGACACTTTCGATACTTTTTACGGTGCTTTTTGATTTACTTCATGAGGAGACAGCCCTATCATGCTATGCACCTGAGTTGAGCTATACTGCCCGGAGTTTTTTCCCATATTACGCTCACCGCCTCTAAACATTTAGGATAGAGTTTTGATGAATTCAGTAACCACGTTTCTTGTTTTAACTCATCTGAAAGCACACTTCGGAAAAACTGAGACACTGTGGACTTAAGCGCCAAACTTTTTTGCCAAAGAATTTTGGAGACCGATGTTCCTCTTGTCTAAGTTCGGCTGCGATAATCTTTCTTTCAATCGGAAAGGTTGCTTTCACTCAAAAAGCACGGTGAATAAGCGAAAACACGATATCCCCGAATTCTGTTCCCACACATTCCCTCCTGTTCTTTACCTAGTCCGATTAGCAGACCTATCCATGAGGACCTATAGCGTTGCGTCACCCTCGGCTGCCGCATCTACTCCACAGTCAGCGCTGTTAGACACTTCAAATTGATCTTCAAGTCGTAGCAAAGAGTATATGTGACTGCGTTGGGTGCCCACATTCGGAGACAATTAGGATAACAAATGACTTTTTTTGATGTACTGGAGTCGTTTCGCATAGATGTTATCTGAAACCAGAATTCAAATAGACTGAACCTCTGATCACCCTATTTTTGCGTCCTGTTACACACCGTTGGCGATCTGAATGCCGTGCAATTACGCCATAGAGCTGACTCCGATGTCAGAGTCCTCTGTAGGCTGTATAACAATACAATTTGGAATGTGGTTAAAAGGCCTTCTCATGATTGGCCCGGTTGCCTGTTGTACGTTGTATTTTTATGGTGGCTGCATTGACATATACCTCCTTATCAACCCAGGGCCCTCTACGCTGCAGCGTGAGCCTCTTCGAAAATCGGCTTAAGCAGCTGAACGTCAACGATGGATGCCTTCACAAGCCGAACTGATATCATTTCTTTCTTTTTTATCATTTCTCGAAAACTCACGCACCTGCTTACTCTCTAGTGCATGGATTTTCAACTTTTTTCGGGTCACATTTTCATACGGTGCCACAATTAGGATGAAAAGTCAGATTAGAAGGTGAAAGCAAGCTGATCGACCTTTGACTTGGCAGACAGGAATGAAAGCTACTACGGGTACTATCTAAATGGCCCACTTTCCAATATGGATTCCGCATGACCTTCTCGGTCCTTGGCTGGAGACGCTGTAAAACGACGTTATGCTTCTCACCTTTTGTCCCTATTCTCTGAATGTGCATCTGGGAGGTTAGGCACCTTGGAGCGCATGTACTATGTTTGCACTAGTTCCGTCTCTGTTATCTTTCACAATAAGGCTTTGAAGTAAATTATGGTCTTACAAGAGTGCAGCGTCGATGTTCAACGTTCGTGTGCTGATGATGATGGTATTACTGAGTGAAAACACTGTACGGCGACCGCCTTCTTCCAGTTATAAGAACTCCTGGTTGGATTAGCGAGCCACTGCTTGCTCCCCTGGGTTCGTTTGTTGTCCTCTGGGGGACTGAAAAGCTCGAGCAGACCAGTTACCCAGTTCGACGATCAGGCTAACAAACAAAAGTTTTCCTCTTCTCCCAGGTAGCTATACTTAGTTCATTTAGGAACAGATGTCGGTTTATTGGTTTTCCCTTTAGAATCGGATAAATGCGACGTTTCTGTCGCATTGATACACTGGAATCCATAAAAGAGCTGGCGTACGGTACTCTAACTCGACAGTTTTCGACAGGCCCGTTTTGCTGTATCAGTTAGGTGACATAAACTATTCACCAGAGGTTTCATCCTTTCAATTAAACCAATCTATGCTCCAAAGCCAAGAAGCTTTCTCATCTTTGTTAAGAATCAGAATTGTGCATCTCACGAAATGTAGAGGGTTTCGTACACGCAACCTTCCGACCAGTCGTTGAACACTTAACCGTTTGATCACAAGTGGCTGATCAGAGGGGATTAGCTCTCTGTGACTGGACAATGCTCCACTCATCCTTCAGTGGTGGAAACCATATTACGTAGTCATATACCGACTGGCTCTTTGAGCGACGACTCCTAATCCCACACCTGTTGCGCAGATCAGACTACATGCCTCGCATGGTGCAACACAGAACACCTTTTCACCCGGCAGTACAGGGTGTTTGGGCTTCCAAAAAGCGGTCGGTTAGCAATTTGTGAACGGTTTATCTGGCGACTTCAGACGCGCTGGTAATTGTCATCTTCTCAAATGAGGATCCTGGGGTGATATGCATAAATAACTAGAAACGCTGAAGGACGTGATTCAGTCACTGGGTGTTTTGAAGGCATTCTGGCATTTCTTTGCCAGAATTATCGTCTTCACAACAATGTCCACCAACCGTCAGACTATCGACTTCTAGGAGCGCGTTGCCACTGGACGATTGCAGGCCATTACATTCAGTGTGTGGCTGCCCCCAATCAGTATTCCTTCATCATCGTTGCAAGAGTTTAAATCGTGAGTGATTCAGGTGCTTCTGTGTCACCTTTATTTAGCCACAAACCATATGCATCGGTTTCTTTGGCATTATCACAGCAACTATTTTCAACTTGGACCCTGGAATAAAAGCAAAAAAACAATAAGTCAGTGAGGAAATAAAAGGCTGTCAATTTGGGACTGACACACTAGCACTACAGGCTGCGCGGTGTTGGCTTTTCAATCACTCCAGCGCGTGGTCAGATAGATCGCCCGTAGCTCCGGCAACATGAACTAGCGTGGCTAATGCCTATTCCTATTCCGTTCATGGATCTTTGCTTGGACATGAGGAACTTGAGTTCCTGAATGGGCTGCGTGGTAGTTGCATGGGTTTTGTTTCACTGGGAAAAGTGAAATCATTGGGCGTACTGTAAAGGCTCGAGTAACATATACCAACTTGTCTCCTTTATGTTATCATCAACGAAATTCGGTCAGACATCAGATGCGCATGCGTGCTTACTCGTACTGGCGGTGGTCCATCATCATATTCGTTAACAGCAACGCCATCAGTGCTTCGCTGCCGTAAACCGTGCCAATTTATTTGAGTAAAACCTTGTAGTGGAAAGATGAATAAAAGTAAGACAGAAGGAGGACCTAGGGCCCAAAACATCCGAGGTGCCTACACCTCCAGCACTCGGTCAAACAATCTGATGACAGAAACTGACGGCATGAACCGCACTGACATCGATTAGCCGCCATATCTTTCACTGTCTTCAGCCAAACACAGGGAGGATCACGTGAACCCAATCCTGGAAGGCGAGAGATCTCAACAGCATCCAAGCTTTTCGTAGCATCATTCCCTTGTACCACATCAAATTCTGTTCACCGCTGCAAATTGGACACGGAAAACAACGCTCTTCCCGGCATACATAACACATGACCCAGCCAACTTAGCTTGCAATGTTGAATGCATTCTTTGAGTGAGGCGTCGTTTACTGCATCAGGCAACCGTTTCTGGATCACGCCCCGAGTTTACTGGTTCCAACTGGTTAGAGCCATGGTTCTGAGACATGGCGGAAAAACCTGAAGATGTTTCTACCAGAAGTGGCCTAGTATGCAGCCGTACAACAATACCACCGCTACTGTAGTCTACTACCTTTAAAGTGCTGAAAGTGTTGGTGCATAAGCGTTTATAACGAGCAGGCAGCAATAATCGACACATTTACTGGATGTGCTCGTCCACCTTGGCAAACGAGCCGCACACAGGTGGCTATCAAGTTGTAGTCATTCATGTAGAGACCTTTCAATGTGGCAGCTTAAAACAATATCCACCCCAGTAGAACCAGTGGCAGCGGCTTCTGGAAGCGATTGGCATTGGTTAGAATTCAAGCAGCTGAATTCTGACCGAGTTTATCATTCACATGCTGTTTCTGGAACCATCAAGAGTCACTTGATGCTCGAAGCACCAGCTGAGCCCATCGATCTGGGTGGTAATGGCTGCAGTTCTTTCGCGATGTTCAGTGGGTTAATAACTCATTGATAATATTCAGAAAGTTCTATCTGGTAATCCTCCATCAGCGGGTTGCTTGTCCTGTCATATAGTTGTCACGTCCTGGAAGTTTGGTGTGTATCTTGGTGAAGTTTCAGCAATCTTTCACTTACTGGAGGTGTTTTACCCTCTGGGGTTTTCCTGTAGTGGGGTATGCAACATCCATTCTGCCGTAAGCATGAAGTTCAGGATGATTTCCTATCTGTCTGAACGTGACAGCGAGAGAAGGTTTCAGGTGGACCTGGTATCATATGCTTTCAATTTTAGTCACTCTTCAACATTTAGGAACCAAAATAACGTTTCGACAATAAGTTTGTGCGTATCCTCCGCAACATCCATCATGCGTGGCGAGAGCTTCCGGGTTTGTCTACCAATACGGGCTGTAAAGTGGTCTTACTGACGTCTTCCGCACCTGTGTGCAGAAAACTCAGCTTTTGAATCTTGTGTAGGGACCCGAGTACATACGATTTGAACCGAAGGACAGATACCGGAAACTTCTGAGTCCCATACGAGAAATCTACCAGGATTTGGTGAACTTCAACAGCTGAAAATATCTAGGCGAAACGGGCTAGTTGATCAACACCATGGGTCTTCTTGGCAGTCATCACATCCTGTCCGGTAGTTACGAGTATTTCTCGCCCTAACTAGTCAGCTTAGTAATCAGAACCCCAGAAAATACTTTTTAACGGAGATCACACCAGAAACGACTAATAAATTGTTAACAAACTGATGCATGATGACTTATATCCTAGTTTCTAGCTACGTCATCCCAATCCCGTATTGAAACTGTGGGATGCTTTCGTAAATGCTGTCTTGCTCAGCTGTGGATCAAGGCGTTTATCGAGATAACATAGTGGCAGTCGGTTGTCTTCTGTGTTTTGGTTGACTGATGATTCCAAGATAATTGCTAGAATCGTGGACATTATAGTGTTAGCTCTTTAAGAATAGAGAATACTCTATTGGTGTATTTCCTTTTAAATATATACCAGGATTAGGTCGGTATCTAATTATTTCCCCAAGCAAACATTTTTTGACTGTTGGCCGAAGGGTCACGTGACTGATCTTATGTACGGCCTAAAGGGTGTTCCATGGTGACCCAGTTTTTCGAGTTCAACTATTCATAAAACAGGGACGATGGGATAGCTCCTTCGCTATTCTTGTGTTGTATTCCATTCAACCTAAAGAACTTCGATCTCACCATTCGCATGCTGCACGTGCACAGTCCTCCTGCCTGTTCACACAACCAATCGACTGAGCAAAACGCTGACGATCCACTGTCAAACCCAACTTCTGACTGGAATCCCGACTTGGCTAGATTTTGGTACTATCGTGCGTGTTATCTCAAACAACGGGGTAACTGGTTAATACAGAAGCACTCTGAACGTCAAGGAACGGATCACACCACCAATTCTTCGGGTGTTTGGGCTTCCGCATTCAAGTGTTATTCGCGTGGCCTCCAGCTTGCGACGTTGGCAAGAAAGGCGTACGAAACATGCGCAATAACGGATACACTCGATAGGAACACCTCTTTCGTAGCTGCACTGTGTCCACAGACTGCTCTGAAAGAAGGTGGAGATGGGGATGCGGTGCTCAATTTGGACCATCCAGAAGGCCTCTGTATCGACACCTTCGAGTCGGACGGTCAAGCCGTTGAAAGACTAGAGTTCAGGTTAGTTATACTTCCCGCAACCAGCTTGTCTTACCCCTTTCAATGCTAGGCTATATGATTTTCATGAAGGATTAGGGTTATAACATTCATATGCCGAAGATAACCACCAAACACCGCTTCCGGAGAGATATCAAAGTATCTTGCAATGCGTGGTACTATCTATGCCTTTCGTAGACACGTATGGTATCTCTAGTTTTCCGTGAGCCTTTTCTATCTTTTTGCTGATCATCATCATAATTTCTGTAATGAATATGATTGAAGCATCTTATTCTGCACCGTAATTCGATTGACCCTCAGAGGTTATATGAGATGCTTTGGTACCTCCTTTTTGGGTGGGCTACTAGCATTGACGTCCCATCGCTTTGAGAAATTTTTTCGACCGCCTTTTGATGTTTTTATCAAATTGTGGTGAAATTTTCCCGTCCACGGGCTGTGTGGGTGTGTTTCTTGGACTTTGATTGCATCAGCGGGATAAATCTTCAAGCTGACTCTCAGTTCCTCGGCGGCGAGTTATTACAAACGAATTGTCGTTTTCTAATCCTTCAAACTATAGACAAGCAAAACAACGCGGCGCTCATGTGCAGCAACAATCAGGAAGTGTGAGTGTTTTGAGACCCGGTGTATTCTCCGAACGCCGTCTGGACCTCTTGTACAGACTAAGAACTACAACCAGATGCAGATGATAACAACTAGTGAATTTGAATTGGATGACCGGATTCAAACTGGTACCACTTTGCAATTTGCATCGGTAATGTGCCAGCAAGTCTAAGACTGAAAAAAAAATTATTCATTCGCCGGCGACTGATCTTGCTGTCCAAGATCATATACTGTAGAAAAAAGGCAAAATCGAGTCGAATTTTGACTCAAACCACTTCTATCACATTGCAGATGAAAAGATTGTTGAGCTTGCTGTGGGAATTTCGCTAAGTCTTCAGGGGAGCTAACCTTTGAGACACAACTTTCCCCGATGCAACTTTATTTGACGGAGCAACCCCCAACGTCAGAACCTTATTAGAAGACACTTCCGGTTTGACCCATTGGAGAAACACCACAATGGTAACACCAATGACCTAGCTGTGAACCGTCATATCAAAAAGCCGATGCCGACATCCCTATCGTCACTTCGTCTTGTGACACCAGTGACCCCTTTTTCAGTTCATTTCGGTCTATCTGTGGTAAGCAAAGTACTAAAGGTATGTTGGTTCCAGCTGTTACGGTCTCGGTTATAGGAACATAGGAGAGTATGGGTGATGGTATAAACACTTAGTTCATGTTGAATCTATTTAGTTAGAAGTAGTGGGAAACTGGGTAGCTGATCGCGATACCTTCGACGCGGAAACTATTGACTGCTTTACTTAGCCGTGTCTGTCAATGTCCCGGCGTCCCCATCCAAGAAAGTGGCAGTTCTCAGCTCAGCTGGGTATACTTGTTAGTGTTTCCATACGTGGGTACGAGGTCATAGACTCTCGGTCGTTTCTACTCACCAAAGGGTTAGGCGAAAAAAAGACAGACGGTCCTCTAGTAAGCAAAGTGCATGTCCTAACCAGCGTGAGTAGGTCATCCGTCGCGGTAGAGCTTCTTCCTCAAACCAGCTAGTGTACCTCAGCATCACCAATCCAATTTTTTCACCTGACCCGGCTAATTCTTCACAGGCACCGATTGTCAAACACTGCGAGTTTTCCTCTGCGCACAGTGGTCACGTATCTCGTCCATAAAGTAGTATGGATCGCACTGTCGTAGTGTATACTCTACTCATGACCGACAAACTGGCTTCGAACCTGTAGGTAAATGAATTTGGAAAAATCTTCCTTGCCTCCACTCCCCAGATTCGAGAGGTGAACTTGTCTTCAGCCATCCACCGGAACTCATACAACTACCCAGCTGAGTGAATTTACCTGCTACGTCGGTTGGCTGGTTTGCAAGCATGAGGTGTGGGATTGATGCCGTTCACTCTTGTAACAGCACTTAACACTTTGCAGTTATGAGTCACATACGTAATCGTGCAGCGTAACTACTTAGGCTATGTAAATTGACTCGAATCTTCAAAGGATCCGAACCAATATCGGTACACAATCTGTGACCGAACACTCGGGGAATACCTCGACCCCCAAATTTCCCAAGGCAGGCAGTGAAGGTTTGGGCAACATGTCATTGAAAAATGTGAAAAGGAATGGCGAAAGACGGCAGCCTTGTTTTACATTACTGAATCTACTTGTCAGGCGAAAGTATGTTGTATGCCCGTACGCATTTACAGAACTTGAAGTACAATAAGTACCCTTACAAAGGATAAAAATTTGGAAAGGATATCACCAAGCACCGCCTTGCTTTCCGACGCTCTACGGAGTCGAGAGCAACCTTCAGGTCCAACGTCGGACGTTTGAAAAAGAGGTGCTGTTCAAGGACTCTCTCAAGGTAACTATTTGGTCGATTCATCTCCGGTCAGGACTACCCAGCGTCTATGACAGTTTTTGTGTGTTTCCTTCAATTGTAGTACAGGTAGGAGATAGTGAAACTAGAATGTAAGGTGACGTACTTCGCTCTGTGACGAAACATCTGCAGTTCTGTTGTAAACAAACAAATTTGCGCTAACCACATCTCCTAACATTATCTATTTTCACCGTCCCTCACCGCTTAGAAAGCTAGATCCAAATTGAGTTTTTCTTTCGGTTACCGTTCTCTCAGGTTGAGTCCGACAAAAGAACCTGCGGTTGTTCTGTAGGTTCACTATATTTGCTCACCGGCGTATACCTGTCCCCGATGTACAAGAATACTGAATATCCGGAGCATTTAGTCCCATTGAAATAAAAACAAATCCATCGGCTTCTGAAAACATCCAGAAAGATAGGAACTATCGGGAATCAGCTTCTGGGTCTGTGAGGATGGTTTGTGTTGATCTCTCGTCCCGAGAGTTCACACTCTGAACACACTTATTGAATTCCTTCCGAGGGTGGTGAGAGCAGGAAGAGCTGATCTCAGCTGGCATTGTACGATTCAAGTGTGAAAGCTGGGCTGATATTGCTAGTAGACGGGACCCAATGCTCATAAGGGTGCTGGGAACGCTTTAGTAACCTTACCGTGTAGACAACGTACTGAAATATCTCTAATATTGTCCCAACTGAATAATGAGGCGGCCTTTGTACAGTACATTGAATTAAAGAATACCAGAGACGAGAAATTCAGCTGGGCTGCAGCTGAGTCTTCCGTTAAAACCAAATTAGTGTGCAACTCGGTGTATTTCACGATGTTGCAACTGCTTTCTCTGGTCGAATACTTACGCACGGTAAAACGCCTGTACAAACTGTGTCGATGCGTCATTCCGTGCACTTGACTAGTAACGCCACAATGTATTTACGGTGTTCTAGAAACCAACGAAACAACCAGATCTACACATAATATTCGGGGTTTTCTATAGTTGATTACCCATATCCATTTTCGGGAAAAGTTTGGTTTGGGGTGCGCATAAATGTAAGTTTTTTCTACTTTACTACAGATTGATGAAGTCTTCCAAAAGAATCGCGAATCGGTTAGGACAAACAAGTCTTGCTATTTTCATATTTTCATCGAACCAAGTGCGTGGGCATCACAGCGCATTTAAAAAGGTGGAACACTAGCGAATATACACTCATCTGCAAACTAATTTGGTTCTTTCGAGAGACTCACCTGGAACCCAGCTGAATCTCTCGTTTATGATGTTCTCCATGGATTTTCAGCAACCTTATGAGTAGTAAATTACAAGGTGGAACACTCCTTAGTCAGATCTTAGGTAGGTGATTGTACGCGACCACCAGGTTCTCTGCATACACTTACTCTCTGTCAAAATTATCCAGATGGAAGTTACGCGAGTCTGCTTGTAACGATGACCCACTAATCGACCATTGCGTCTGATTTATTGATGTGACTACCATCCTTCCGTCAGCTACTCGTGGTGCATGGCGTTAAGTGGACCTATGTTGGCCTCCATTGTCGGTGATGACTGTCGCTTAAATCCTACTAGGTACCCATAGGGTCAAGCTCGCTTAGAAATTCAACATAATTAACAACTTTAAGCCTCCTATTTAGTAGTTATTTCAACCGCACTGTATCATTTCTAAAGCGAGGAGGCTGATCTTATTTTCTAGACCCTTAAGATGTGAGTATGAAACACCATGAAGCGTAATCAAACGAAAAACGTGGACAAATATTTTCAGTAGTGCGTCACAATGAAATGAATGATGGTGGAAATGAGAAAAAGTGCATGGAAAGCTATAGATGAAGAGCGGTTCGTATAGGCATAAATGGAAATCGCGGATAAAATTATATTATCAATTGGCCTAATACTTGGTCCTGTGAACGGACAAGCCCTCAAGATCACTTTCTGTGATACTTTGACACCGGCACCCACCATTACCCGAGTGGTTGCACATTTGACAGACTTAGGTGTATGAATCAGTACTCGTGTTGCGAGCATCTTTTAGACCCTTCAAAGAGCTGAGGTAAGATAGTACCAGTGCCCCTCCGTTTCCTGTTATATTGTATCCGTTTTTGGATGGTTTCACTTAGCATGAGAACTGTTGTCAGTAATCATGGCGAGATGTTCTCAGCTAGCCTCACCCATTTTTTTCTTACTCTGAAAGCCTTTTGCTCAACCTCGCTTTGTGTCAACTGAAAGCAGGCTCAGCTTACTCTGCCGCCCACAACTGCACACGAGCACTCCGGATGGATCCTGGCTGGGTCAAACTGGCCCAAAGTGAAACCTACCCCAATGGTTCAGTCGGAATGGCACTCGATGCACCTTCTGCGTTGTCCAATCAGGATATTGCTAAAACTTTATACCGCCGAGCTCAGTCCTATGTGGCTGTTAGCAAATGGGAAGAAGCTGTTTCAGATTTAGAGCTGGCCATCCGGCTGCAAAAAGACGACTCTGCGAAGACGGGCCTTGCACTGAGTGAAGCACTGCTTTCTCATGCTCGTCAAAAAATGTCCCAGGACGACGCCAAGTTGGCCGAACGCCTGCGAAACCGGCGTGGTTTGTTCTAATTGAGGGCTGTCAGCTGTTCACTCTCAGAAACCAAATGTCACGATCAGGGCTGCTACCTATCCATATTTTGTTTGTAAATACCAACACTACTTTAACCATAAGTCTTTTTGTGTTTCAAGGGTGCATAATGTACATGGATCAACTACGTAGCAGATAGCTCAGTGTTTAGAGCGCGAATTTACTGACCGGAAGGTTCGTGGTTCGAACCCAACCTCCGCCTCTCGATCTTCCCTGTCTAGGCTTGGGCAACCTGGTAGTATCCCATCCCCCGTGCTTCCTTTGGGTGGTATGGCAGCTAGGCACCGAAAGGGGGCTACAGCTGGACGGTACATAGCAGGTAGGGTTCAAACCACTGACCTTCCGGTCAGTAAATTCGCACTGTAACCACTTAAACCATCTCGTCCCCAGATTCTAACTAGGGTACAAGACGTATGGGGTCGAAAATTGTTCATTAATGCAAATGGTGGCAATTTATTCACCCGATTGTTCCATGCGGACAAAGATTGTGTCATAATAACCGCGACCTTGCGACGAAATGTTGACGGTTGTCAGCATTTGTACAGATTATACCAAGTAACCACCCAAACTTCGCGGTATAAGTCAAGTCTGGTCAAAGGAAGTTTCATAAACCCACAGGGCGGAATTTTAAACAGCCAAATACGAAGAATTCCTGGCAAAATCATCGAATGTATGAAAATGTCGTATAGGAGGAGAAGCTTTCTGGGCAGACGGCTTACGAAGGAGTTTTTGCGTCAACTGAAAACGGTGTCTCAACAGGTGAACGATATGGTAGACTATACTCCGACAAAATGACCTACGACTGTGCAGAATCGTAATCGGGTACGCGATGTTGAAATAGCTTTGGAGAGGCCAGTGTGAGATGCGTGTGACAGACCAGACCACATTATCACATTTGGCAATGTGCTTTCGGACGATAAGCTCAATCAGAATGCCTTTGGCGAGTCCATACCATTAGGATATGGATCTAAGAGGCCACAGAAACAACAGTCCGGAAGAAAGCCAGGAGATCAATGGAACATTAAGTAATAAGTTTCCAAATGCGATCCCGCGAATCAGGTTTGCCTCAGAGGAAAGCGCGCAGATTCGATATCTTGTGCTCAGATTAGGTTGTGACACCATAGGAAACCTGGATACTCTGCTGAATACCTTTTAGGTACGTACCGGTTAACATCCGAAAAAGAGAAGTGTGTTGCAGGTTATCAACGCGTACCTGTCATGGGGCCAAATGATACACCAGCACCTAGGTATGTTGTACTTCATTTGTAGGGACAGTATGCATACTGACTCGCAGGTTTCGCGAGGCGAAAAAGCAGACGTGAAGCAATCAAGGACATGGCCACCAACATTCTTGCAGCAGACATAAATTACGAAGTAACAACTGAGGACACTTACAAAACCTTTATCGACGTGGCCGTCGGTACAGAATTCGCCCAAAATGGTAATCAGACTGTTTCATCTTTTCTGGAAGGGTCACAATTTGATTAATGTGGAGAACATTGGGATATCGATAAAAAATCGATGAGGTAGGAGAGAATATGATCCAGTGTACCTTGTGACCATTTCATCCCCGTGTCTCACATTCCTTACATACGCTCTGACTAGTCCGCACGGTTGCACTAAGCTTGTCTCAGACTTACCTTGTTGGCGATAGGCACACACACGGGCCTGTTTTGCGACACATCTTGACCAGAGGTAGTTTCACAGACCTCTCAATTCTGGACAAGTCTGACAGAACCACCCAAAGGGGTCCTCACCAGGCCAGGCTTGATGACTCTTCTGGGAAGTTGTCTATTTGGTTGAGGACAGTTGTATTCATATGGTGCGGTGTGTTCGATCTGAAGAACAGATACCCAACGCCGGCTTGAAGTAACGGACCTCATGAGGCTCCCATAGGTTGGGATTTAGTACCCCTGGAACAGTCGTCTGATTTGTAATCATGTATACTCTCAGGAGTTTGCTCAAGACAGTTTACTGGTTAAGGCATGAGCTTACTTATCAGAAAGTTCGTGGCGTCTCCACTACTATCCAAACTTGAGCAAACTGACGGTATCTTCCTCCAGGAAGCATGGCAGCTATGCACCGAACAGATGTGGCAGCTGAATGGTAGTTATTTCGTTTGATTGCTTTGTAATTTTTCACTGATTTTGCTAAGTGTAAACTACGCGATCGAACCCGTATTGAACTTTAATTCAGAGGTCAGGTTAGCTGCTTTAAAAAACACTGAGCCTATTTGGTCCACTGAATAGTAACCTCGTTTGACTTTGTTCTTAGTTTTATGTCGGTGCTCAGCTTTCCTAATCAAATTAAGCAGTAACCTTGGTAAGACTGCTGTCATCCAAATCGACCTCGGTTAGCGATACAGCGCATTGCGCCCCAAGAGAACATCATCTTCAAAAGTGGATACCAGTAGTAAATACTAGCGCGTAACTGACATATTACTGTGAGGAAAGAACATCTTAGAGGAGCCGAAAGGAAACGGAAGAGTTGGGATCCGGTGCACCGTCACGAAGAGACTAAACCTACCGTGGTGTGACGGTTTGCGCATCTCAGCGATCCATTGAACTTTACTGGGGAGTGTCTCCGTGACACCCACAGAGTCTCTCATTCCAGGTTGGTCAATGGTGAGAGGTCTGATGAACACAGTCTTCTGGCCCTCCAGGTTGAGGGTTGGACTTGTTCCGTAGAACTGCTAATGTACTTGCATTTCCCGCCAAACACCGCTGCCTTGCGGTTAGGCTTTTGAGCCAAAGGTTTTGGTTGAGGACCCTAACCGTCCTCCTGTCTAGGCGTGGGTGCCCTGGCAGAATCCCAGCCCTCGTACGGCAGTGAATCGTCGGTGCTGAACACTGATGTCATCCTGTCGATGATGATGCTGGATTTGGTGCAAAAAACGCCCTACGACCTTGGGAGGAACATGATCAAAAACGTCCAGATTTCAAGCGCTTTTCAGGTTGCTCTCTGATATCCTTGAACAAGAGGTCCAGTGTGGATAGATATGTGGCTCGTGAAAACGCGGAATCGTCACCTACCCTACATTCTTTGGGCTCAGCGGTCTAGTCAAGGAAAAACGCTAGTCTTGTTTGTTACTGGATATCAACACAGTAGTTTGATGTGTCGTTTGTGCTTGATTCGTAAACTAATTAAATACACCTGGAAAGTTGTCTGAGTCGCCTACACAAGTTGACAAAACCTTGAAAATATCCTGAGGGGCCATACATCGAATTAAAACTGGTATTTACTCACGGCAGTTGCTTAGTTGAGTCCTGCCACGCAGACATTTCAGGAAAACGAAATCCATCTCTTAGTTTTAAACAAGTTAGTAGCTAACCGACTGTGAAACCGTATTACTCGCTCAGATGGCTCATGTAAGTGTACCACGCAAGTCATTTCATTGTTCTCGGACTTATGCCACATTTGCACGCAGCCTGTGACGGACTGCTGCATGAGTGGAAAAATTATTCGGTGCTTTGTCGCCATACTCCTTGGATTCGTGAGCTAGTGGGTCAGAGTAACAACTCTTGATTTTGGTAATTTGTTGAAATATTGGTAGCTCGGGTGAGTTTATTGGTTGTTGATTTTGCAAGACAGCTACTGTCTCAAGTGCCACACCAATGGTTTGCTTTTCTACGCTTTTTCTGGTCGCCTAACATTTCTGCGAACAATGCATGCAGTAATCCGCTGGAGAAAGCGTACTAGGTTTTAGCATACGATGCTATCTGCGGTTGGGTTTATCCCCGACCCCATCGTCCACGGATATACTCATTCAAGTTGTCATCTTACAAACACCTATTTATGCTCTCAGTAGTTCAGTAGTAGTGCCAGGAGAGAAAATCATTGAGCAGTTTTTTGTAGATTAGCGGAGCTGGAGTCATGTATCGATGATCGAATAAGCCAGTAGGTTCGTGGCGAAGAACGACATCGTTTGAAGCACCCTAATGAGTAGCATTTGGCGCCAGAATTACGTTTTCAACGGGCTGGTGCTTACCTGTCCCTTCAGTGGTGTGGAGTAGGGGAACATATGAATCGGACGTTCAAAATAGGCATACTTTAAACGCGGAGAGAAAAATCAAGCGGATGCAATTTATGTTAAATCCAAGGACGCTGTCCTTGTGCATTCTTGCATGCAGGGGGGGTTGTCACCACACATGTGCTGTTTTTTCCGAACACCTCATACCTCGTGGTGTCATACCCAAACACTATCTAGGCTCCAACTTTCTCCTTAAAATGGGTGTTTCGTTCCGTACTGTGTCTCTGATCCAATTCATGTCGAATTATGGATTCGCGTCCTTCGATTGACATTAAATCTAGTGTGACTCGGTCTCTTTGTACTTGAATCAGGTTAGAGAAAACTTTCAAACTCAAAACAGCATTCTAAAAAATAATGGTGATTCGAAACTTAGTGTATGGTCAGTCTAACGATTATCAATAATTCCTTCATCTTTGGTTACTTGCACTATAAACAAGTTACCTACCAGTTCGACACTATAGCTTGACTTGACTTCAGGACGCCAAACGGTGAAGTACGCCGTTGAAAAACGCGAATACGGAACCATCACGTGACCATGCAAAACGATCAGCATCGGTAAACTGAACCACTGAAGTTGTGTTGTGCACGCTGCACCGTGATTACATTCCTGCGTTTGTGATCGGTCGGGGTCGTCACATCTGTCTTGTGCTACGGAAGTAACAAAACAAACTGATGTGGTTTGCAAAACTTCTGTCACTCGCTTTTTTAGCCACACGACTTGAGGTACGCCTGTGCCTAGTTGATTAAATACGTTCACGTTAAATCGGTCCCAATATTTGGTAACCGTTAGGCAGCGTGATAAGTGCCTAGAAAATTAATTTTGCTCACCGATAACTAAGGTTCGTGAGTTGTCTCATTTTGACGAGAAAGTCTAGCAGCCCTGTTTGCAATGGATGGCATGTTGCGTATGGGCTGAATGTGAACTTTGTGTTCAATAGACCATACATGGTTAATTAATCCTATCATACATCGTTGCCGTGCTTGTCCAGACAGCTTCCTAGAGTGTTTTTCGGAGAGTAATTTCCTCGCTTCTTCCG